AACACCAACAACTGAAGACTTCCAAAGACGAAACTTTATAAAATATACCTGTTTCAGGACCCGGTGCACTTCCTTCAATACAGCATCTGGGTCTCGGACTGAGCAAATGGTCAAGGTGCACACGACAGCATCGAAGGACTCACTCTCGACCTGTGACATATTTTCTCCAAATGCTCGGATAAAACCATTAAAAGTGATGTGCCTTTCCAGATTTTTTCTCAAGAAATGCTCATGGTCAGGGTTTGGGTCCAGCGCTGTAACTTTCGTCCCTTGTGGATAAAGAGAAAAGTTTTGACCACTGCCGATGCCTATTTCCAGAACATTCAAAGAGGGAACTCCGAGTTTCTTTTTCAGATCTGGGAGCGACCTGAATAATAACACTTTCTCCTTTGAACAAAGTCTTGAATGAAAAAATCCACAAAAGTAATAACACGCAGCAGCTTCAAACTTCAACTTTACACTCTTGAAACGCATGCCGAATACATAATGAGCAATGATCCACAAACAAAGAAGAGGAAAAACAAGGTAAAATATACAAAAGTGGAGTGCTGCATCAAAGTGGGACATTTTGATGAAACAGTCTTCAAAACAGGAGTTTATAGATCTAGTACTGTAATAGTCTTGAACTAACACACTCTTTCAAAGGTGATTTAAGAAGTGTGTGTATACATATATATTATTATATTATTAGCAGGCCTAGTCTGTCTATAGTACAAGAAGGCCTCTATAGAAAATCCAGTCTCTTCCGGCACTAAAGAAAAAGCAAAACACTTTAAAATCAAAGAAAAACTAGGCCTAGTTCTACTTTGTTCGTTTGTTGTTTTGTGTGTACGTTTTTCCAAGAAACAGCAGGCTAGGGAACACCAGAGATCACAATATTATTCCAAGACGACCAAGACTTGGACTTTGGAAGTCCACACCCAGGAATTTAAGTTCATCCAAAATGTGAAAAATGACAGTTTGACTTGCACTCAATTCTCGTCTAGTCTAGATTGGAACAATGTTTTGATTGTGTTCCAAACTTATCAACTCGTAGATCTAGATTCTAGAACATGTCAATGAAACATGCACTGGGCTTGATCTCGATTGTGAACTTTGCCCCGATCACAGGCAAATCGATCGAAGCCACCGAGGCCCAATGGAAGCTTTGGCTGATAATCTATAATCTCTTGAGTTAATAGAATGTCTGTCTCAGTTTAACCGAAAATTTTGTTATTTCATTTCTAGCCACAATGACCATCGACAGAATAAAGGGTGTTGTGCTGCAGGTGGCCTGCCGAAAGTGTTAAAACTGATGAAGACAGGTCCAGCCAGAGTTGAATCAGGCGAAATTTGTTTACAAGATTACTATGAAGCCTAATTTTTTCCTGCTACTACTACTACAAACTACAAATCTACTTCTGTTTATAATATAGGAGGTAGGCTAAGGAAATGGTACCGCCCGTTTGATCTTAGCCTCAAAATCATTGAAAATAAATGGCTCAGAGAGGGTTAGTAACCATAATAATTTATTATTTTTACTTTGTGATTGCAGCAATACTATTCTTGACTATATAACACCACAATTAGGATCAAATGCATTCTCCTTTCCGAATTGTCAAATGTACCCCCCCAAAAGTTCATAACAGACTCCAAAGACAAGGAATTCTCCCCAGTCTCCAAGGTAAATAACTCTGATTTTACATTTCTACCGGTACAGTGAAGACGTATAAACCCGCCGGGGTTTGCACTGCCCGGTCCTTATTCCACGTATGCGATATCAGATTTAAAATTTAATATTATTTTTTAAAGCACGCGGGTGTGGGGGGTCGTATTCATAAAAAATGGATTGTTTAGGTGCTGCAGATGACTTTCTCCTTGTTCTTATTCGTCCCCTTCTGCTGTTTTTGGATTTGCTCGTATTAACGTGTAATAATAATTATCATAGTCTCATGATAGAGTCTTAGTATTTTCTATGAAATTGATTGTCTCAATGATTCTGTTGAACATGATTTTTATCTTATAATTAAACAAAATCAAATACGTTTTTCTCTGTAGGCCCATTTTCCGTACTGATCCCATCTGTGAGCTGGGGTATTGTATCCCCCTCAGATCAGACGAAGCAGTCGGCCTCCCTATTACATACATTGATTTGAAATGTTGTTACGAGGCATGAAACAATTACAATAACATGAAGAACGTGACAGCAACACGGGTAGATGGAGGGCGCCACTGGTAGGCAGGGGTCCTATATTTCTTTTAGTTAACTCGGTTATTTTAGGCTTACAGATAGATCGTTAAGTCATTGTTTTGTCGATGTGCACGCATCTGTTTCTTTTCCTCTCTCTTAAGAAAAAGACGAAAAGCATTTTGTTTGACAGCTCCTTAAAGAACGAACCTTCTTTACATTCCCGTACAGAAAATTGGTTCCCTTCGTACGTGTGACGTATACAGCTATCCTAACTTGATGGCTCCAATTAGCCAGATTGAGATATACATGACTATTACGAATTTGAGGAGGTCTGGTTTAATCTTGATAATAATACATAGAAAAAGAAGAAGAAGAAGAAGAAGAAGAACAAGAAGAACAAGAAGAACAAGAAGAACAAGAAGAACAAGAACAAGAACAAGAAGAACAAGAACAAGAAGGAAAGGTCCAAAGACGGATAGCGCAAATTCCCGCTCAACAACAAAGCTCTATAGCTGTACGACCCGC